TGCTCAGTGCGCATGCGCGGCCCCGCCCCTGCGGTCCCAGCGTGGCGCAGAAGCTGCTGCGGGGCCAGGAGGAAATAATCCCCCGGTAATGACTTAGGAAAGAGCACTGCGCAAATACTATGCAGCATGCGTCACAGATAAAGGGTTGAAAGTCCCACTGTGTGAATGATTCTGAAAGGTTGAGGGAACCAAACGTGAAAGATCCAATTTAAAGAAAGGCAGAAGATGTGATCGGCACAAAAATGACATAATACTGGGCCTAAAACGAATGGACAGATGGGGCTGGGGATTTAGCTCAGTGGTGCCGCCGCCTGTCTGACAAGAGCAAGGTCCTGAGTTCAGTCCCCAGTACCCAAATAAAAACAAATGCAACGAATGGACAGATGTTCGGTTTCGGTCCTTCCCGATAGGAAAGGAATTGCACAGTATTCTCAGACGCTGCTTTTGACATACCCTGCCTGTGTCTCCCCTACCCCATTTCCCGCAGTGCGGAGAACTTACCCTGATGAAACGTTACCCCCGTAGGGACACGTATGTGTGTCCGTCCAAGGTCGCAGGTTGCAGTTTGTGTGGTTGCATGGCAGCGTTTGGATTGGCTGAGCACCTTCCTGCTCTGCGTGTTCACGCCAGGCTGCCCTGGGCGGTTGTGAAACAGTAAGAACTCTGTGGACTTAATGATTTCCAGGATATACTGATTAGTGTGTGTGGAGGGGAAGGCTAGATAAAGGTACCATCTTATGCTGTTTTGTGGACAAGAGGAGGGAGTAGTAAAATATTCAAGTATAATTTCTTTTTTTGCAAGGGAAAAGAAACCTAGGAAAAATAAAGTAGAAATTAACAAGTTGGCTATGGGGGTGCTGGATAGAGATAGGGTGAAGGAAATGATAGTTCTCCAGGAATGCATTGTTTTGGGTAGTTTGCACTTGTAGGAACATTTGAATGTTATAATGTTTAAAAAATAAAGTAAAGGGCCGGGGATTTAGTTCAGCGGTTCGGTGGCCTGCCTTGCAAGCGCAAGGGCCCGAGTTCAAACCCCGGTACCAAAAAAATAAATAAATAAATAAATTAAATTAAATTAAAATAAAATAAAAGAAAGAAAGTTAAGCCAGGAGGCAAGTGTCTGTGGTCCTAACTACTCAGGAACCTGAAGCAGGAGGATCACTTGAGTCCAGAAGTTGGAGACTAGCCTGGGCAACACAGTGAAACTTTGTCTCAAAACAATAAAAAAGATAAATTAAATAAAAGAAATAATTAAAGTAGAATAAAGTCAAATTGAATCAAAGTAGAGGGTGAAATTCCTAAAACTGAACACCAACAAGTGAAAGATGAACTAATTTAGTAAATTAACTAGAGAAAGTAATCCAAGAAGCTTTGAAGCACCCTCTCCCCAACTGTAACCCTTCCGTGTATAAACAGGCAAATAGAACTGGAAGGAAGGTGAACTTCACTCAGCTGGCGGTGATCAGCATGGCGAGTCTGAAAGTCTTCCTGCAAAGGACCATGACGCTGATGATGCCCAAAGCAGGCTGTGAAGAACAAACCCCACAACTGGTTGTTTATAGAAGTGAGTCAGGCCGAGACATACATGCCAAGGTCAGAGTAACTCACACCCAAATTCTGCTCCCATAACTAAAACCTTCTAACTAGAAGGACAGTGTTACAACCATATATTTTGTCTGTTCTGCTCCTAATTCGAGAATTCCTTGTCCTGTCCTTTATGAGCCTTGTTTACATCAATTCCCATAGAAACTGCACATAGCTCGCTGATTGCCAGTAAAAGTCAGTGCCTGGGACTGGCCAGTGCCTTTGTGGGTTGCACTGGTACTGGTCATCCTGGTGCCCCACTTTCTCTCTTAGCTCTGTCTCAGTGTATTTTTTTCTCAGGCCTGTGACTGGGCAGGAGGGGACTGGGCCCTGACTGGAGGGATTTCTGGTTTCCCACTCTGAAAGTCTTCCTGTGTGTGGCAGGCTGAAGGAGATCAGGTGAAGGAGGTCAGTAAAGATCTGGTTTTGTTGGGAACCAAGGTGATCCTCCTGCGTCAGCCTCCCGAGTGCTAGGATTATAGGCATGTGCCACCACGCCTGGCTCCCTGGCTTGTTCTTTACAATAGAATAAATGCTGCCACTAGTAAATACTGAAGGAACAGTGAAATTAGCAAAAGTTGCCATATTGACATTAAGTATAATATAAAGTGGTTCATGCAGGAATAAGTAATGGATGATAAAACAACTGAAGTAGAAAAACTTATTGGGGAATAAGACATAATCTTTTTTTTTTTCTGTTTTACTTCTGCAGGGCCACTGTTCTGTGAAATGTGCCATGCCATCTCGACCTCCACATGAGAGACATAATCTTTAAGGATCACTCCACAGGTTATTATTTATAAAGATAAAAAAGGAGGCTTTTTAGAATTCAATTTTTGTGTGGTTTGCTGAGATAGGATCTTGCTATGTAGTTCAGGCTGGCCTTGAACTTAGTATGTAGCCCAGGCTGCCACTGAACCCACAGCAATTCTCCTGAGTGCTGGGACCAGCTACAAAGTAATGGGCTGGATTTTAAAAAGTCAAGACTAGCAGCCAGGCATGGTGGCACATGCCTGTGATCCTAGCACTTGGGAAGCTGAGGCAAGTGGATCACCAGTAGTTCGAGGTCAGCCTGGGCTACATAGTGAATTTGAGGCCAACCTAAATGACACAGCAAGACCTCACCTCAAAAACAAACAAACCAACCAACCAAAGAGAACAAAAAGGTCAAGATCATGAAAGACTGAGGGGAGGAACTTACATTAACATTAAAGGGAAATAAAATTAAATTAAAGGGGAGGAGAGCCACGCCTTCTCCTGCCCCAGCTGCCATCACTCCAGTACCGGGAGGTAGCTGTGAACCCCATAACTCCCCCACCCCTGCACTCAGACCTCCTGATTGTGCCAGTCTTTGGATCCACTCTGCAGAGGCAGAGGTGGCCATCAAGGGCATTTTTCTGAGTTCCCAACTTTGAACATCTTTAAAGAAAGGGCGTGGGAAACCTGTAGTAGAACGGTGTGGAGTTCAACCATTCAGAAGGTTGGGGAACTCAATCTGGGCCTTGCAGCCCAAGGTCAGTTTGCATCATGGGGTTCAGCCATCAGCTAACTGAGATCAGGGGTCTTGCATCCTCACTCTGTCTGAGCCATTAAATGGTAAATATACTATATTGAAATTTTGTTCACTGCAGATGTGTTCTGGACTGCTTCTTGATTTCAATTTAATTCAAATGATTTAAGGGTGATAGACTAGTGACTACCACAGGTGGTCAGTTTCCAAGTTGTGCTTGACCTTAATGTGCTGCTGATTGTATCAGTTGGGATAAAGCATTTCCGTTGATTTGATGAGCTGTTTTCTGTGATGTTATGAAGATGAGAATGTCTGTGGGTCGTTAGAGACACAGAAGCTAGGATGCTACTGTATCAGGAAGATTTGGGTGATAACCCAGAGATTAAACCAAGGACAATCCGACAACAAAAATCAAAATGAAAAAACACTTAAGCAAGACACAAAGACAGATTTCCAGTTCACCAATGGCAAACAGTAGGGCAAATGAGGATGAAAAGGCCGATAGTGAACCACCAGGACACTCTGAACTCAAAGCACAGGAAGTAACAAAACAGATCAATCAGGCTCTAGAAAAATTCAAAACAGAAATAATTTCCCAGATAACCATAGAGATGGTGAGCAAAATGGAAGTCGTGATTCAAGACTTTAGAGCAGAAACTGACAAAAAAATAGATGAGCTCAGGACCATAATAGAAGCCATGAAGGCCCAGCATAAGAAAGAAATGGAAACAATAAACACCCAATACAAGAAAGAAATGGAATCCATAAAACAGATTCAAACAGATATCCAGGAAATTAAACACTCTATTAAAATTGTACGCAACAGAATAAAAGAATGCGAAGATAGACTCTCAGATATAGAAGATAAGATTGCAGTCAGTGACCATAAAAAGAGAGGTCTCTTAAAAACAGTAAGGGATCATGAGAAATCGATCCAACAACTCCTAGGTGATGCAAAGAAGAATAACATAAGACTGATAGGAATCCATGAAGTAGCAGGAGAAAATACAAATGACTTAAAAAAGCTGTTCTCAGAATTAATGACAGAAAATTTCCCAAACAGAGGGGAAGAATTTGACATTCAGATAACTGAGGCATATAGGACCCCAACTAGCCACAATAAAAAAAAATCTACACCTAGACATATAATAATCAAGATCCCAGAAACCCAATAGAAGAACAAAATACTACAAGCAGTAAGAGAAAAGAAACAAATCATATGCAAAGGAAAGCCCATCAGAAGTACAGCAGACTTTTCAACATAAACCCTTGGGGCAAGGAGAGCCTGGAATGAGATATTTCAAGTACTAAAAGAGAACAACCTCCAACCTAGACTGATGTATCCAGCAAAACTCTCTTTCAAAATGGATGGGGAAATAAGACAATTCCATGACAAAGAACACCTGAGAAACTACATGAATACCAAACCAGCACTACAAGCAATTCTAAACAAGATCCTAGAAAAAGACAATGAAGGCAACAACACCATGAGGCCCAACAGAGCAAATCAAATAGGCAAGGCAAGAAACTAAGAGGAGAAGTTGAAAAAGTAAAAAGTCAACAAAAGGCCAATAGCATGTCAATAATAAGTCAGTACATATAAGTTATAACCAGCAATGTCAATGGCCTCAACTCACCAGTCAAGAGAAATAGACTGGCAAAATGGAATAAGAAGCAAAATCCAACAATATGTTGTATACAAGAAACACACCTAGTGCAAAAAGAAGCCCATAGACTGAAAGTGAAAGGATAGAAAACAATTCTCCATGTGACAGGAGCCCAGAAAAAAACAGGGGTAGCAATCTTACTTGCAGACAAAGCAAACTTCAAACCGAAACTGATTCTAGTATTATTGATGTAGGACAGTACTGCATCATACCTCTCTGAATGTGAAATATCTTGTACCTGCTTTATGTTACATAGTAGGGATCGTACTTTATCAGAGCTACATTTAATGATATTACTCTAGAATGTTCTCTTTCCAGATGATGATTAAGATGCTAATAAAATAAATGGCGCCAGGTACCACAACAGCAACAGAACTTTGCTGTTTTCTGGATATTCTTCTTTTTTTTTTTAATGGAATGTGCTGAATGTCTATAATTTTGTTCAGGTGACTGCAGAACCTGGAAAAGCTGTTGCTGCTATCAATACATAACATACTGCTATTATTATAGT